TTACAGTCCTTTTGCGTACTTGAGTAAAATGGATGAAGGCTTGGGAAAAGTAGTGTGTTTGTAATGTGCATAGTTTAACGTTACCTGAATACAAAAAGAAATAGTTCTGGAACATGCTGGATTAACTACTCAGTTGCCATAAGAAAGATGTTTTACAAGATGAATGTGTTTTACTCTCTCTCATATGGTATTCCTTAAACATCATATATGGTTTTAAAATAGCATGCAAAACTTGATAAAAGAACATGAATATCCATTCATCTCTAGCACAAATTTTTTACATAAGGGTGAAGATTTATTAATAGTTTTATTAAAGTGGTAACAATATTTATAATATGCAGAAATATAAAAGAAGTTTCATGATGGATTTGTGGTACCTAAAATATCTCAACAGTATTATATGTGGCTGCCACTTATAATCTACTATATGTGACAGCAAGATACGTCAGTACAATCATGCTGATTCCAAATATTTTAATATTTTTTTCTGTTGTGCTTTGCCAAGTGTTTCATCAGTAACCAAGAGGAGATTAGACACTGACAAATATACTTAAAGGCTATTGAGTAAATACTGTGGTATTCATTTTGAAGACTCTAATTCTATAATCACTGTACACTAAGGGATAGTGATCCATTCTTTGAATTTTCCAAATAATTATTTTCTATTACTTTTATTTTGTATAATATCTTCCATAGATATTACTGTAAGAAACTGTACAAACTCTCTTACTCATTTAACTACCCTTAAAGTGATGTTTAGTAGTGAAGTGAGAAAATATTGTAGATATTTGAAGGTAAAGAGACTGTTGATAGAACAAACTGAAGCAAAAACCATAATGGAAACTTGGGTTGTGCTAGAAAACACAGGAATGCTATTGTGGACTTGAGCAAGAACAGAGAAGCTTTTTGTGATTGACTGCATGTAAAAAGCTATTACTAATCCTAGATGTTGCTGTTCCATCTGTATTTGGTAGCTGTCCAAATTACTTCTCTAAATTAATTGCCATAAGTTTCCTATAGAAAAGAGCAATATTTTGCTTCAGTAGTTCTACTAAACTTACTTTGTGTGAAATTGGATGGTTTTATCTGTTAGAGAAATGTGGTTGCCCTTCCACATACAAGGTAGCAAGGATTGAAGGTTTCCTAGGAAACATGGAAAATAGGCAAGGAAATTAGACAAAGTAGATTCGTTCAATCTTTGGAAGTCTTTCTTTCACTGAGAGACAGAATATTGCTAAAAAGAAACAAATTTTATATTAATAATTATCAGGATGAGAAACTTAGTACTTTTTAATAGCACTCGGTTGTGTTTCTAACTCATTAAAGCCGTTTCATCCAATTTATGCAAGTCAAGCAGACATTCTTTTTCTATTTTGCACTTAATGATCCTTTTTTTTCTAATTAGAGTTTGTTAGAAAGCAATAGAGGATGCAGATCTTGCTTTTTAAGAAGCAAAACCACACTTGTGGTTTGTATAAGAAGGCAAGGTGTAAACTGTTTTTCTTTTATATTTAATTTTTTGCTTTTTGGAGGATTTTTTTTATGTTCTACTGTAATGTTTCTTAATGAATTTGCTGAGTGTATAGTTTAAATTTAGATATTTTCATTTAATGATGACTGCTAGATTTATTAATTGAAGAAAAATATGTTTAGTTGGATTTCTTCCAATGAAATAACATTTCAGTTAGTTCAGCTCATGCTACATATTCTAATCTTATGAGCATGAAATGTATTTGGTGTTAAATGTTGCAGAATCTGATGTCTGATTTCAATACTGCAACTTCAATATCTTCATTAGTGCTGTGTAATTCAGTGCAGAGGAGGCCTGGAGTACTGCATAAAATGCAAATAAGACATCACAGAGACTCTTGTGTCTTAATGAAGTAAGCCTTGGTTCAGGCTTTGCAGTAAATGTCCTAGCAAAGGGTTTGTTCTCCATTGGGGTACATATCCTTCTTTTTTCAGAAAGAGCCTGCATTCAAGCTTCATACCACAAAATAATAAAGTAAAAAGTCAATCCTTTTGAACTTCTAAAATACTGGTAATAAGTGCAGAAAGCTAAGCTACAGATTTAAAATGTTCAAGGTTTCTACAAATAAATCATAGGTAATTTAGGTGTTTATGTGATTATCTCCATAGCAGATGGAACATTTTATAGGAAAAAGGGACTCATCTGAAAATATATGACAGTGTAGTGTGAATCACAGGGTTGAGCTCTCCTGCAGTCACTGAGTATTATTGAGGTAAAATTCTTTTGCAAGTGTCATGCTTCAGAGTTCATATGCTGTACAGTCTTGGATTTTTTTTTTTTTTTTACTAGCTCAGGTTTGGAATATGTACCAGTGTTTAGCCATATATGTGTTTCCATCTGTGATTTTATTTATATATGTAGAATTAAAGAAAGACTGCAAGACAGCAGATGAGATTGTTTTTATGAAGATCCTACTTAGTGGATAATTTCTTTTTTCTTAAATGAAAAATTTGCAATGCTAAAGCATAGGAATGCATTTTAAAATAAGTATTAGTAGGAAAAGGATTGGTCAGACCTAAATGCCTGCTCAGAAAGCTTTCATTTTCAGAGAATGTCAGTCTTTTACTGCTTTTGGAAGTTTTTGTTGAAGGTCTTCTCTTGATATTTTGGAGTGCAGATTAATGATACCTAGCAACCTAAACATTAGCCCTACACTGTCAAAGTTTATGGTATGTATTTATGTAAGTACTATCGAAAATTGTATTTAGTTGGGGGAATGATACATATAGGTTAGCCAAAAAAAAAATTAAAAAATCAAAGTTTGTGCAGCTTCTACAGCTGACACCAAAGAGGTAAAAATTGATGTTTTTTTAATCCATGCCTTATCTTTTATCAGATTTTGAAAAAGTATTTCTCCCTTAATGATGTACAACAGATGATTCAATATATAAAACACAGTTGAATGAACAAAATAGCTGCATGCTGTTGCTTTCAAAATCTGAATCCTAGACTTTTATTGGCAGTAGTGATATTCTGTTTGGTTTTAAACAGTTTGCTTAACAATATGCTCTCAACAGCCTCTTTTTAACACAAATAAAGGAAGCTATTCTACATCAGAGTTAGATCAAGAGTTTCAATTTCAAGAGCAAATGCTGCGTGCATCTGTTGAGGATGATAGAATGTGGGATTTTACCTCTTTGATTGAGTTGAAAGCTTTTAGGAATTACCTCCAGCCATCAATAAATAAATTAATGAGTAAGACTAAGACAAATGTTAGTTCCATTCTAAAACGAGACAATTTCTTGTTTTCTACGAAATTGTGGTAATTCCTATTACATAGGAAGGAAAAATCTAAGCACAAGCCAATGTTGCAGAAGTTCATATAGAATAATAGAAATTTTACTCAACATGTACATGCATTGTGCAGCATACATATACAACTCCACTGTATATCGAGTCACTCATAATGATGTTACTGAAGAATGTATGTCTTGAAAATTATTCAGATTTTATTGCTCCTTCCATTTGTTATTTGTATTATTTGTTAACTTCAGGAGTAAAGCTTCTAATTCTGAGGAAAAGCCATGCAAAACTTGTGCATTTTGCTATTCATTCAGCTTACAGAATGCATTGGGTATCAGGATTTATTCCTTCAAAGTTTGGAGAAGTCATTCCTGCACAGAAAGACATTAACTGTGAAGCTTGGATCCACACCTATGCCTAATATGTAATATACTTATAACTTGCCACCATCACTATTGTTTTTTTTATTTAGTCTAAAATAGAAGTTTATGAAGTTTGACTTTGTACTGATTCAGGTTTCTTGTGTTTTTGAGCTTTGTCTCTATTAACTTCCTGCCAGAAACTTGGAAGAGATCGATTGTTTTTGGTTTTGGTTTTTGTTTGTTTTTGTTTATTTATTTATTTATTTATTTTTGTTTTGTTTTTGGTTTTTTTGTTTGTTTGTTTTTTGTAATAATAACATGCTGGAAGAAAAGTTGAATGTTACTGGCATTATTCCAAATTACTCTTAGGGAACTCCAAACTGGTGAGCTACAGAATGCCAATAATTGAGTATCCCTTATAAAGGTTTCTATTAATTTCATCCATCACCATCAGGTCTTTCAATTACACCTAATTTCTTTTTGGTGTTGGGTGTATCATGAAGTAGATCTTTGATTGCTAATAAACTGGTAGACCTCTGTGTTACTCACCTTCATGAAATTTAAGATACTATCTCCAAGTAAGTTCACCTTTGATTCAGGATCCTAGGTGACTGCAGAAAATACTTCTCTCAGTAATTGCTATTGCTTCAAGAGTGTCTTTTCTTCATGTATGTAACTACACTAGGCAGATAAGGAAATAAAAAGTATCTAGCAAAACAGGGGAAATAGAGTAGTGCTACCAGTTATGGAACTGAATGCTTAGAAAGAAGTAAGCTGTTCACCAGCACAATCAAAGTGTATATATGCTGAATTGGATGTCCTTAGGATAGGTAATACAATGATACAACAAATAAATATGTAATCAGTGTTGTTATCTGACCAAAAAATGTGGTTGTTAAACCTGATGTATGTTTTTGATGGTGCTTTACATAAGCTTTTAATGAGCAGTATTGTATGTTAGACTCGCACTATATTGTTTTGTTGTTAAATATGTTCATAACAGAAAACAAATGTGAAGCACATTACTGTAATTAAGGACTGGAGTAAACCCATTGATCCTTATTTGAAACTGCTGATAAATTTAACTTTACATCATTCCTGGATTGCTTCAGATGATTAGATAGAAATAGAAGTCAGTTCATAGAAATAGAAGTCAGCTCAGCAATGTTCTTTCCCCTATGTCTTTGGGTTTTGCATTTCTTAAGAACATATGTAGTACATTTTTGTTATGTTATTCACTGGCTGGGAAGAAATCAATGGAGAAAAGTATGGAAGCAGTGAGAGAGGGAGGAGACATGCTATATATTATTTTTTAGCATCTGAAAGCACAGTGCTGAAACCACATGCTTCTTATTTGCTCTTAGGTTTTTGGAAAAAACAACAATCGAATGGTTGCAGTTCTTTGAAGGTAGTGGGGTTCCATATGGCCCGATCAACAATATGCAGCAAGTGTTTTCCGATCCTCAGGTTGGTCCTCATCAAGTCTTTTCTATATGTTGTTTCATGTGTTTTACAAGTGCTGAGTAATGATCGCCTTTTCTGCCACTCAAACCTGATTTTGGCTACTTTAAAATGGGATTTGAGTTATATGGTAGATTGAGTTTAAGCCAATAATATGTCATAATAAGAAATAAATACAGATCCTTAAATGAATTCTATGCTTAGGAACACAGATTTTTTCATAATGAATTAAACCATAGATATTCCATGTCTCATATAGAGTCTGTCTTTCAAAACTGGCTGGTAAAACAAGGAAAGAAATGGTAATATAGTATGTAATTGCATTTTATCAGATAAATATGCAGAAAAGTACCTTTGTTGCTGCCCACAAGTAACTAATTTTCTGTATGAAGTGTGGATAACCAGAATCAATACTCTTTGAAATAAAACGGGCAACTTTTTGACTAAACAGAAAAATGAAGCACAAAAGTCATATGAAGAAAGATCTTAACTTTTTCTTGGCCTGGCAGTTTCAGTAGCTGAAAACACTTCATCTGTGCATCTCTTTTAAATTTTAAATCTTTCACTGAATTATATCTATACTTAGTTATTTACAGTATTTTCACTTTTGAATATCTGTAGAGTTGCATTATCTGCATATTTTCTCATCCCTCCCCTTCTTCTCACCCCTCTGGATAGGTTAAAGAACCCAAGACAAATTATACTGTCTTGAACACTGTAAGAGAGTATTTTATGGCTATTCTATGGTGTTCTGTCTCCTCTAAGTTGAATTTTACTAATGAGAGTAGCAAGAGAAATGATCGATCATTGTCTGCTTATGTTTATAATAAATATGTTTGCTATAAATATTATTATCATAGTCTTAGAGGCATAAAACAGTATTTGTTAGGCTGCTGCAGGGAAAGAAGTTTGTTTTTCTTAAATAAATACAGTCTTTCTCCTTAAAATGATGTAGTATCATGCTGTAAAGTATGCATGGGCCAAATTTTTCACTTCATAACTTTCACAGGCATTAAGGTTGGGCTTTGAAGAACATACAGCAAGACTATTTTACTCAGACTTGGCTGTACTTGGGACAACATTGAAAAAATAGTCTTTGCTTTTTTTTGATGCTGTGAATTTAAACAAGTTGAGTCCACTCTGAAAGAGACTGCTTTTTAAAACACTATATGTCGTGGCATGGCTATTACCTCCCAAACTGAAAAGATGTTAACTTGATTGCCTTACTCTTGTTACAATTCACCTAAATATTATTTTTACACATATATTATTATAATTATATATATGTTATTTATATATACCTGTCAGGTTATTACTTGATATAGTTAGCCCATCCATAAAAGGTATCACAGTGCTTTGCAGTTAGACATCACCATATGGCATGTTTTTCAAAATATTTTTCTGTAAAGGGGCATGCTCATTTCTCTTCTCTTCCTCACAAAACTGCTGAAAAGCTTTGTCTTTTCTACACTCTTCTCTGATATACATGGCACTCAGACGTTGTGTTCTTATTACTATTGGAAACTGAATATCAGTATTTGTGGAATGCTTCATATTATACATTTGTTTCATTTCTGGTGCTGCTTACATCATTAAGCATTTTCTCACAGGTATTTTCAGTTCAAAGGAAGCAGGGGAAAAAAAGACTGCAGTTCTTTCCTCTTCTTCCTTTAAATATGGAAAACTGTTGATGTTTTAGGTATTGGCCTTGTGTCAGGATGTCTACTTTACATCACTTATATAAAATTAAGCCTCCCACTCTACCATTATGTATCTGAGAGACTATCCAGCAGACAGAAATTTGGAGAGTTGTATATTTAGCCTATTAAGTATATTTTTCTAATTTCTACCTAAATTTTTATTTTGACGGTGAAGACTTCAGACCTCCAGAGTTGGCTTCATTGCTCTAAGTCACTTATCCATATCTTGCATTTAGAGGTTTAGGGACAGTTCAAGCAGTTTTTCACCTTCACAGTTCTTCTGGTTTTGCTGTTGTATCTTGCCCAGTCTCCCTCCACTTCTTCCTTTTTCTGTTGCTGTATAGGCAGCGTGAATCCAGGATAAAAACACATGTTTGTATATAGCTTTGCTCTTTCATAAGCTAGTCTGCAATTTTAGTTTCTGAAACCTTGAAAAACATGACAGTGCCCTGAGACTGTCTAAGACTGAGGAAGAAGTTTAACAACACCTGAGAGTCTGTAATCTAGGTATCCTCTGCACTGTGACATCCCAATTGTAATAGGGAAAAACCAGCACCCACCAACAAGAACATAGTGTAATCACAGTAAGATTTATCATAGAATACTTTTAGTTGTCAAGGACCTTTTAAAGGTCATCTACTCCAACCACCTTGCATTGAGCAGAGATATCTTCAACTAGATCAGGTTACTCAGAGTCCCATCCAGCCTGATCTTGAATATTTTCACGGATGGAGTATATACCACTTCTCTGAGCAATGTGTTCCAGTGTTTTTCCACCCTCATTGTAAAATGCTTTTCTATATCTAATCTAAATTGACCCTTCTTCAGTTTAAAATAATTACTCATTGTCCACTCATAACAAGCCCTGCTAAAAAGTCTTACAGTCCTCTTTCAAGTACTGAAAGACCACAATAGGGACTCCCTGGAGTCTTCGCTTCTCCAGGCTGAACAGTCCTAGTTCTCTCAGCCTTTCCTCATAGGAGAGGTGCTCCATCCAGCCATCATCTTCATGGCCCTCCTCGGGACAGGTTAATGTCCTTCCTATACTGAGGACCCTGGAGCTGGACATAATACTTCAGGTGGGGAGGTCATGAGAGCAGAGCAGAGGGGGAGAATCACCTCTCTTGACCTGCTGGTTACACTTCCTTTGATGCATTCCAGGATACGGTTGGCCTTCTGGTCTATGAGCATGCATTGCCAGGTCATGTGCAGCCTCTCATCCTCCAGCAACCCCAAGTCCTTCTCTGCAGGGATGCTCTTGATACATTCATCCTCCAGCCCATATCGATACTGAGGGTTGCCTTGACCCAGGTGTAGAACTTTGTTGAATCTCGAGCTTGTCCAGGTCCCTCTGTATGGCATCCCATCCTTCAGGCCTGTCAACCACACAACTCAGTTTGGTGTCATCTGCAGATATTATATAGCACTGGTCCCAGTATGGACCCCTAAGAGACACTATTTGTCACCAATGGTATGTCTCACTGAGCCATTGATCACCCTCTGGATGTGACTGTCCAGCCAATTCTTCATCCACCAAACAGCACACATTTCTTATATGTAAATCTGAACCCAGTCATCAAGTATAACTTTGTTATAACAGTGCTCCCATTATAATATGATGGTTTTTTACTCTCAGTTTAGATCAGAAAATACATTTCTAAGACGGATGTCACTCAGCTTGCATTTAATAACCATGCATAGTAATACTGCATAACAACATGTACAAACAGCATGATTTAAAATTAAGGAGTTTATCATAACACAGTAATCTGCTTTTCGTTACCATTTGCTTTTAACAATAGCAAAGACTTTAGAAAAACATGAAACCCAGTGATTCTTCACTATAGTCAAACTGTCCTCTGCCTCTAATAGATAATGTTATAGGTTTTGCTATCTTCTGCCATTTCGGGCATTACCAGAAGGTTTGGATCTAAACATTTTATTTACTTTCATTTAATTGACACCATCTTCCTTTTTGATCTTTGAATTTTGATATCCATAAGCAAACACCATTTATTTTAAGTGCAGTCTTGCACCATTAGTGCACTAAGATGCACTGCGTGGATGTCAACAATTGTGTGCTCAGCTGTCAGTAATGCTGTAAAGTGTGTGCTAGGCTGGTACCAGAAAAAGACAGAAATCCTGGGAGGAGGTTGGAATAATGCAAGGGATGGCTAGAAGAAAGTGTAAGGAAATAGGGGGAAAGACAATTAAAGGAGATGACTGAAATGGTCTGATGGAACTCAATTGGCTTACAGGTGAGTTGTGTTTTCAAATTTTATTTTAACTAAAAGGACCTCAGAGCTCTGAAGGCTCAGAGTGGTTTATATAACTTTTTCTATAAACTGAGATAAAACAACACATTTTTTGATCCCAGGACATTTTGTTAATATCGTTAACAGCTTCAATCATACTCCAAGTGAGCTGCCAAAAAACAGGAAGTTTTTTACTAAGTTGGAGTGCCAGGTGATACTGTTTTTTCCATGAATGGAGCGAAACATCCACTTTTCCCACTGATTATAATCTTTTATTCATTTGTGAAGTTAAAATGAATACTACAGGCATTTGTACTGCTAAGTCAATCAGTCTGTGGATAGACGTATCTGTATGCTTGTGCATGTGTGGATAAAAAGGCTGAGAAAAAGAGGAGATTCACTATTTAAGGGAACAGTTTTCTTAAAAACGTGGGTGAGAAAGGAATATTTGTAAAAGTTCTTACAAAATAGTAGAGTATACGCTATTTAAATGAAAATTTATATAGTTAAGCTTTTTTAAACTATTTTTTAAAAATGTGCTCTTTTAATCATGCCAAGATAGTACAAACATTAAAAGAATTCTTAAACCATTTAAAAAACTTGTGAATGACCTCAATATGGTCCCATTTAGCATACCTTGGGGAATATGTGTGTGAAATACAATGTGGTTTTAGGCTTTCCAAACAAAACAAACTTAAAAGAGAATACCATTTTTAATAGAAACTATTCAAATTCTCCCAAAAGATAAAAGAAAACAAAAAGAGGTACGCACTGTACTGAAGCTAAGTATGCAAGAACAAAGATCTTTGCTGATTAAGTGAGGAGACCCAAGGTTGGCTTATTTTTCTTTAGAACGTTGCCCTCCCATTTTCACAATGTAATTTCTTTCAAGATTCTTATACAGTGCTCTTTAATTAAATAGCTAGCATATATAAGAAGCAACAAAACAACCCAGAAATACAGGCAGTTTAATAAATTGTTATTTGATGTTTTACCAGATTAAATCCATTCATATTGATGAATTTTACTATATGAATGTTGCCAGCTGAAA